ACACACACACACACACACAGACAGACACACACACACACACACACAGACAGACACACATTAACCCAATTCCTGAGTTATTTCATAAACTCTTTATTCTTGCTTAAGGAGTCATTTGTGCAGGACTGCTTTGTTTACACATGCGAGCAGCTGATGGCGCTCGCTGCCCGTGTCACTGAAACAGACACTATGTAGAACACCTCTGTTACCATCAAGCCAGCAAACAAAGGTGGTTCAGCTGCCGTACTTAGTGGTAACCATCACTCATAGTGGTACCAGACCAGTCCAGGAGAAGCTGGAGTCCCTGTCACTGCTGTCTGTTTCTCCACTGCTTATTTCTGACCACATTATCCTGCGTGTGATATCAGGTGTGTTACATTAGCAGGTAAATCTAATGTCTGCTCCATGTGTTTGTGCGTGCGCACTTATACATCTTTGTGAGGACCAAAGATTCGAGTGTTACTATCCCTGTGGGACCAACATCCCCGCAAAATGTGCCTTTAGTGTCAGGGTTACAGTTGGCTTATGGTTAGGTTTAGGCTCAGGGTGAGGCATTCATCTTTGATGCATTACATCACTGAGATGTAAAAGGCAAGTGTGTGTGTTTGTGTGTTAGAAACACGCTAAAGGCCAGGAGCTGTTCATGAAAGTGTGTGACCACCTGAACCTGCTGGAAAAAGACTACTACGGCCTGGCAATCTGGGAAACTCCCACTATGAAGGTGAGCGTCAGTGTAACGGTCAGTATCCAACAATCCCAGCCTCACTGTTCCATTAGGAGGTATCATTCACGTCATTGTACCTGATGATTACACTAACCCTTTGCCCTGTTATTGAAGGAGTTGATGGTCCGATATCACTAAAGCTTAAACTGCATGTGACATTTTCTTGATTAGACTTGGATGGACCTGACCAAAGAGATCCGCAGGCAGGTACAAGGTGAGCTCAACTCTTCCACAAAGAAAACGTGTGTTTGTCTCTGTGACACTGAGCCTCACTCACAAACAGTAATTGCTGTGAGTTTCAGATTAGGTCTGTCTGTCCTCATGTTTTCTCACGCCTGTCTTTTCCTAAACTTTATCTTCAGTCACAGTGAGTATCTGAGGAGGAACGATATTCAGCAACGTTTGTACTTTTAACCGTCACTGTTTTGTCTCCACATGGACGCTGTAGTTTCACTTTCAGGCAGCCTTTCTCTTGCTTTTTTGCTTTGACCACTGCACTGCAGACAAATGTGTTTCCTTATAAAGAGAAGCATGAGTGTGGCAGCATGCAGATTGCAAGTAAAACTCATGAGCCTGTTGATTTAGAATGATTAATAAAATTAGCCACGTTTCATAAATCCAGTGGTAGATTTGTGTGAGCAGGGAAATAAAGATTTTTGCACACATATTCATGGGTTACTGCGACCAGTCTGGGTAATCGTTTAATCACTCCTTCCTTTCTGTCTCAAGGTGCCAACTATAATTTCACTTTCAATGTAAAATTCTATCCACCGGACCCAGCCCAGCTATCAGAAGACATCACCAGGTACAGCACATATCCAGTCTCCCACTGGTGAAAATAGTTTTATTGTGTCACACAGTGGACGGGGTGTGTAGTCCATGTGTGTGTTTTTAGTTCCCACAAGGATGAAAATGCCTCCAGTTTATCAGCTGGAGGCTTCAGAGCTTTCTGTGGCATTTAAGAAGTTTTCAGTCAGTCAGATGGATCCAAGCTGCATGTCTGTTTCTAACCTGTGGAGCCTCCATCTTTCCTTTCAGTATTATTTGACCTTCTCCAGATTGACATTGGTTATGTATTATTTCAGTAGGTGAAGCAACAACCCGACCAGCCTCTGTGAGTCCGAGCTGGATCAAATATACCTTTGATGCGTTCATCAGTGAGCGTGCGAGTTCAGCTCTGACTCTGGTTTCCACCATAGTTTTCTGGGGCTTTAACACATCTCACAGTACGACTGTATTAATCCAGGTCCTTTACCATCTATCTATAATTAATGTGAGAACTGCATGTGCATTGCAGATACTATCTTTGTCTCCAGCTGCGAAAGGACATCCTCCAGGGCCGCCTTCCCTGCTCCTTCGTTACTTTGGCTCTGCTGGGCTCCTACGCTTTGCAGTCAGAACTTGGTGAATATGACCCTGAAGTGCACGGCAGTGAATATGCTAAAGAAATGAAAATGGCCCAAGGTCAAACCAAGGAGCTGGAGGACAAAATGATGGAGCTGCACCGCACATACAGGTCAGTCACCCAGTGGAACTCTTATTTCATTAGTTGTAGATCCATCCATTTATTTTCTTCCACTTATCCAGGGCGACCACATTCTCACTGGGATGATGGTGGATTTGAACCCAGTACACTCTTGGCGTGACCGCTGGGCCACTGTCTTGCCACTTATTGCAGAGAATTTATGTAAAGTTCACGAGTTGCTGTGTTGCTGAGCTCACCAGTGCTTTCTTTCTTTCTCAGGATGCACCAAACTGTAGATTTTCCCACTCCTAATATTGTAGCAATTTCTCAGATGAGTTTTTCTGTTTCCACAGTTTAAGGATGGCCTGTTTCACCTGCATGAGCTCCTTTGACCACATGTTGTCTGTTCTGTTCACTCAAATCACCTCCAGGCCTTTTATCTGCTTAATTGATAATGACGTAACGGCGTAATCACCCACAGCTGCACATGAAGTAGCCTGTCAATCAACTGTCCAATTACTTTTGGTCCCTGTAAAAAGTGGGTGGCACATGTTAAGGAGCTGACGCTCATAAACCCTTCATCCAAGTTGGATGTGAATACCTTCAAATGAAAGCTGAGACTTTGCACATTATGTCCACGTCCAGATAAAAAACTTGTCAGTATCTCAGGTTTGTGCGAAACCGTCGATCGGTCACATGCGATAGACGGAAACGTCCGCAGCATCACTAACATGTGACATGTGTCTTTGCAGACAGGGAAGTTAAGCTAACAAACATCAGAAATAATTGAACGGTCAAGTTGTGTGTGAGCTTCATGGAATAATAATAATGGATTGCATTTATACAGCACTTTTCAGGGCCCTCAAAGCGCTGTACAGTTCACTCACATTCACACACTGGTGGAGGCAGCTGCAGTGGAAACTCTTGTTTCTAAAGTGAAACATGTAGTAAAGCAGCTGACGCCGTTACACATTTAACATCCAAGTGTGGATTCAGTCAGTGTCACAGAAGCTAAAGATTTTGGATTTCTTTGGGGTGCCATCGCAGATCCATGAGCCCGGCGCAGGCAGATCTGATGTTCCTGGAGAATGCCAAGAAACTTTCCATGTATGGAGTGGACCTCCACCAGGCCAAGGTGAGCATCCTCAGCTGCTCTTATTATTCCTGTTATTCCTTATAGACTATTTTTAACTGCTCCAATCAATAAATAGTGAGTAGTGATTCACCCTTGTTTTCCATGCTAACTTTGGGAGCAGGTAGTTCACGTACTTCACAGAGAACCTGTCCTCTTACATGTTGGCGTGAATGTGGTGCTCCCTGTGGCGTCTGTGCAGTGTGACAGTGTGCACATCAGAAATAAGGTCATTCTCCTCACATCAGAGCAGGTATTAAAAATAAATATAGGAGAGCACTTTGAAGATGATACTGCCCCCCTGTGGATGCTTGGGAGCAGCACATGTCGGTTGCACCACCAGTCAGAAAAGAGCTCAACAGTCCAGATGAAGTAAACATAACCAGGTGTAGTGATCCAAGGAGCATCTTTTAGACCACTGCGTGCTGACTGGGCTGGAAACTTTCTCTCATTCAGTATCTCCTGTTTATTTATTTGCCTACATTGCTTTAGGAGTTATTTCTTTCATTCTGAATATCTGTTAGGATCTGGATGGAGTTGACATCATACTGGGGGTGTGTGCCAGTGGTCTGATGGTTTACAAAGATAAACTGAGGATCAACCGTTTCCCCTGGCCCAAAGTCCTCAAAGTCTCATACAAACGAAGCAGCTTCTTCATCAAAATAAGACCATCCGAGGTAAACCGCCACAAAAACGTCCTTTTTGTTTTTCGTCCTTCTAAGGTCTGTTAGTCTTGTTCACAGCAGGTTCGTGTCTGTTCTAACAGGTGGAACATTATGAGAGTGCCATTGGATTCAAGCTTCCCAACTACAAGGCAGCCAAAAAGCTGTGGAAAGTGTGTGTCGAACATCACACCTTCTTCAGGTGTTGCATTCTCATCGTGCTGCATTTCTGAAGGAGCTGTGGCTTTTTTCAGAGCTGAAGATCAATATTCTTATGTGCAGGCTGACCTCCTCTGAGATGGCCACCACCCCAAGGAAGTTCCTAGCATTGGGCTCGAAGTTTCGTTACAGCGGTCGGACTCAGGCGCAGACCAGACAGGCTAGCTCTCTGATTGACAGACCAGCTCCCCTTTTCCAGCGCTCCTCCAGCAAGAGGAACTCTCGCAGTCTGGATGGAGGTACGCCTTTACTAACAGACGGACTCTGTGTTGCACTCGTGTTTTTCAGTCTGGCCTATGAGTCCTTGGGCAAACAGCGACAACAGACCTGTATGTATAAAACGGTCGGGTGCGCCCATGCTGCCATCGGTTTTAGCCAAAACTCTTGACCCACTGTTGCAATCGAAAAATTCCAACAGTTCCTGAAATTATCTGTGCTTTTTCAGTAGTATTATGGTCGTTACGGCAGACAAAAGGCAAAAGAAAGAATTTGGCAGAAAGTTAACAGAAGAAGAGGGAAAATCTGCTTCATCACCTGCTGAAAGACAACAACAACCAACATGAGCACGAGTAACGGTCAACAATTAAATGTTGCTGAGCAGCACACTAATGATACAAGACATGTTCAGAGGCAGCAGACCGAGATAGTGCGTCTGTGAGCACCCGTGTTCATAAGGTTTCTCTATTTAAGTATTTATTGGTGTGTGTGTGTGTGTGTGTGTGTGTGTGTGTGTGTGTGTGTGTGT